TGTACTAAAATTAGATATTGAAGAATTTAATGAAATTCGGCGAGCGAGGCCTCGATTATAACCTCTACCGTATAAAGACATTGCTGAAGATACCCGCTGATTTACAGGAGAAGACGAAGCTGAAAAATAATCGTTGGTTTCATAGCTGCGGGTTGAAGAGGAAGAAAACCTGCGAGGAGATTGTGACAGATTAGACGGATTTTTAATAGATTTTGGAGAAATTGTTCCGGACCGACCGACACCAGGGAGATCTACTTCTAAAGAGGAAGGTTTAGGTGTCACTTTATTACTCGCTTTTTCACTCATTTTATTAATGACAGTTAAATTATTTTTTGATTATTAAAAAATTAAAAATTATCGCTATCGCTATGTATTAAATCAAATACGTAGTATTTATAGTATTTGTCCGGTTTATTACCAATCACAAGCTCCGAAACTGGTAATAAAGCTAAACCGCTTGAGCCGTTAGAACCATCGGAATGTTCGGAATGATGACTTTTTATTTGCATCATAGATTCATACTCTAACGCTACATGTAATACAGAACGGTAATACAATTTGTGGATTACGTTATATCGATGTGGAGAGATCTTGATATATATAATAATATATATAATCATTTTAGGGTTGCCTTGCGGGCAGAACCGCGTAGCTGACCGTTTTTTTTGTAGATTATTGGTAAACACATGGCTAGATCTAGGTACAGTACGTATAACAATTGTTCTTCGTCATATATAGACGATAATTTAAATCATATGTAAACAATGAGTACGTACAACCGATTTTGATCTTAAGATGGAGGGGAGTGAAGTTGATAATCAAACATAGATATTGTACAACGTTTATCATTATTTCATCGATTTGTTAAATTCGCGCTCTATAAATAGCCTGATTTTTGTATCAACCAAATTTGCAACTGATAACTGTTGTCTTCTTATACCCAATTACATTTATATTTTTATATAATAATAATATGTCTCCACCATCCGGAAACCAATCAGAATCAGGTTTAGCTCGTTTATTAGGTTCAGGGACTTCAGGGTTACTTGAACTACTCGTATTTCACCCCGTTGATACTGTAGCCAAACGGTTAATGACAAACCCTACAAAAGTATGACGCGTTATTTTTTATCAATTGATACTATTCAAACTAATAAATATCATTTTTACTTTAACAGATATTTGTTACTGGTGCACCTTTATCTCAAGGATTTAGTAACCTCGACAAAGTTATATTTAAGGTTGTACTTTCATTTTCTTTGCGTGAAAATTATCTTAACATTTTAACCAATTAGTCAATTTAATCTATTATTTTAGGGCGATTATTCTTCTAGCATTTTACGAAAATATACTTCATTATTTCCTGGTTTAGGGTATGCTGGAGGATATAAGATTCTTCAACGAATTTACAAATATGGCGGGCAGCCTTATGTAAAAGATTATCTTAATAAGCATCATAGAGACCTTTTTTATACAACTTTTGGCGAAAAAAGTGGTAAAACAATAATACATGCAACAGCTGGAAGGTAAGAAAAATTTTATGATATCTGAATTCGTAACTATGTGACTATTAACAATAACTGACCTATTAATTAATTAGTATAATTGGTGTTGGCGAAGTAGCACTCCTTCCGTTAGATGCTTTAAAAATTAAACGTCAAACAAATCCAGAAACTTTAAAGGGACGTAATATTTTTCAAATTTTCTGGGAAGAACGTCATCGCCTTTATAGGTAATGTTGGTTCATCAAACTTAAAAATTTTTATATCGGACATATCGGACTAATATACTTTTATATGAATTAGAGGTGGTCTTTGGACAGCAGCTCGTAATGCACCTGGCAGCTTTGCATTGGTAATTAGTAATTTATTTCTCATTTAATTTGATTCCTTAATTCTTATGAAAATA